AAAAACTTAAGTTGCACCATGTATAGGTAATACGGTACTGCCTGTGTCCTGCCCAGTCTAAACCTTAACTGCACGGTTTTAAGGTAATTACGGTAGTTCCTGCCTGAGATCAGCACAGTTCAGCAAGGAGCAGCCGCTCCTGCCTCAGAGTCATTTGGTGCTTTTGAGCTGAGCACAGTTACAGGCAAACAGCAGTTTACATTGGAGCCGCAATCAGCAATTTAATTTTGAGACTGAGTGTGCAGCACAGAAACTCTTTTTATCCAAGTTACAGCCAAATCTGACACGCAGAGCACTGCGCAGTCTGAAAACGCGTCTCTGTATGGCAGCAGGAATCCGCCATGCTCTTCCGCCTGCCTAAGCCTGATTCCGCCATCTGCCCAGGTGTAGGCAGGGAACGCTGAGCCATCGGCAGGTCTCAGAGCAATCTCCTCCGATCCCAAGTGGGAACAGAAACATCCAGTCCCATAAAAGCCTTGAAATGCTTTAAAGCCAGAGTTCACGCTGGCAGCATAGCACCAGGAAGCCGCGCTTTAAAATGACGCAGCTTTTTTTCTCTGCTGCTGTTGCTGAATCAGGAATCTCTCTACAGCATGTCACCAACAAAACAGCAAAAATCTGTGTTAAACTCTGTTTCCCTTATTTTTAAGGCTTCTCAGGTTTTTAAGTGGATTTAGCCCCACGTTGGGCGCCATCTGTTGAAATAGGAGCGGCGGGGCTGCGTCCCCGGCACCCGGCCGCCCGCATGGCTAGTTTATACCCAGAAATAATTACACGGAAACTGTATTCTTTCAAACTCTGCCTGGCCCAGCTAGGTCCAGCTTCTTATTGGCTAGCTCTTACATATTGTTCTAACCCATTTCTAATATTCTGTGTAGCCCATGAGCTGGCTTACCAGGGAGGATCTTAACCTGCATCTGTCTGGCGTGGGAGCATCATGGCGACTCACTCACTCAGCTTCTTTTTCCCAGAAATCTCCTCTGTTTTCTCCACCCACCTAAGGGTGGGCCTTATCAAGGGGCCTGGGCAGTTTCTTTATTAATAAGAAATCACTCCCACATCAGCCTTCCGCAACTTAACCTCTCTGTGCATTTTTTAGAACTGTAAAATATACAAAATCATTGTATCTGTTCTAGAGGATCATTGGAAGAAGTTATTGTATTAATGTGTATGATGTTACATACATGTCTATATAAGTATGCTTCTTGTTATTATTTCTGCTGTCGTTGGTGTATTATTCATTAAACATGTACTGATCTCTACCAGTATTGTGATGCCAGGCATTAAAGAACAGCATTGATAAAAGGAACACAGAAAGTCCTCATGGAATCTACAGAATCTACATAAAGTAGATCATTTCACGGATGTATTAAGATAGAGAAGCACGTCCAAGTATGATATAAACACCTAAAAGATGACTATCCTCACAAAAAAAACATCTTGGACCTACCCATCAGGTTTCTGAATGTCTGCAGTGCTGTTTCTCCCAGGTCAAAGGAAGGCACTGGCTCTGTGACCAATCAGTAACCGAATCCTGACTTGCTCACCTGAGGCCTCTATGTCCTAGTCCCAGTGACCTGGTTCCTGCCCTCTGCAGTCTTGCTTCTGAATACCCTGTTGAACAACCTCCAAAACAGCATCATAACACTGCTCCTGGGAAACCACATCTCTGCCCTGATTGCTCCAAACCAACAGTCTGTCCCCTGTGCTCCTTGTCACCTGTGCTTTGAAGCCCCTCTCGCCTGTATGCCCTCCATATATTCTTTTAGACACCCATGTCTGGCTTTTGATGTTTCCAGTACCCCTCTGTTACTTGCAGCTGTATCCACTTGACAGGCTCACTCCACCTCTCTCAATCTTTGCCATCTCACCAGTAAAATAGAAACCAAATGTACCATAGCATTGAGGGGCTTAAATGAGATTAAGGCTTTCAAACAACTTACAGAATCTTAGGACTCAATAAATAGACTCATTCATTCAGTAATATTTATTTCCAGGCACTAAAGATATTTATGCAGGAGATAAAGAAGACAAATTATTTCTTCATTTGTAAGGTTTATACCTTATAGTGTATTAGCTACTTTTCTTTTGCTGTGATAAAATCCCACAACCAAGGAAACTTATACAGAAAAAAAATAATTTATTTGGGCTACAGTTCCAGGGAGTTCATAATGGCAGGGGAGGCATGACAGCAGGTGGCTGGAGCAGAAAGCTGAGAACTTACATGTTTCAACCACAAATATAAAACAGAGGCAGCAAACTGGAAGTGGGATAAGTATTACAGCTCAGAAGCAAAGGTATCCTGGCTGCCAGGAGCCAAGGAATACCACATGGTCACACCACACAACAAACTTCACACAGGAGGTTTATTGGGAGGGAAAAAACAGGAGGGTGGCCGTCTCTGCTCTGGTGACAAACAGCAATGAACTGAACAGGATACAGGGTTTATATAGAGTTTCTTGGGGAAAGGGGTAGAATTTTGGTGGGATTCTACGTTCAGAGATTGGGCTTTTTAGGGTAGGGGCAGGGTCCAGTAGTTAGGGAAGTTAGAGTAGCCTGTGGGTGGAAACTGGCAGTTTGGGGTCCTCAGAAGAGGGCCCTGACCACTTGTGTGATTCGAGGGGCTTACAAGTAGAACAAGACTATGATCTCTCAGTACCTACCCAAGTTGCATACTTCCTCCAACAAGGCTACATCACCTCCCCAAACAGTGCCACCCTCTGGGGACCTAGTGTTCAAATACCTGAGCCCGTGGGGAACATTTCTCATTCAAGCCACCAAAAACAGAGAAAACCAGCTATCAAGCTAATTACTAATTGTAATGAGAACTATACAAGAAACAATACAAACTGATGAGATAAGGTTTTTTTAAATTGTAGATAGAGTGGTCAAGAAAGAAAATAAGAGGTAACTAATGTTTGCAGAGGTGCTTACTAGGTGTTTACAGAGATCCTGACATGGGACATGCCTGACAAACTTCACTGCAGCTAGAGCATGGAGAGATAAGAACTAAGACACACGTGTGGTTGTAGAGAACCCTCTAGGCTTCCACAGTAAGTGATTCAGATATTTGCTTTAATCGGATCTCTCCCTCCTATCGCTACCTCCAGACCTTAGTTTTGTTTTTTGAATGCCAGAGAACTGTAACTGCACAAAATCTCAGGGCTCTCTGCTTTAGGAATTAGTCTTAACTATTTTGTTATGCAATAATAGAAGGGCAAAGGTTAAACATGTTGATCAATTTTCTTCCTTCCCTTGCAGCATGGGTAACGCTGAGGTTCAGCCCCATCTCTGTACTTTTTCCTAGAGATGACCTCCAGTACCATGGCTCTATGTTGTATTTATATGCCAGTGACTCCCAGTTCTGTCCCCAACTCTGACTTCCATGAGATCTAGCCCACTGTTCTGGCTATTTAATTGTCTGAAACATAGTTTCTACAAGTTGGATATAACCCTGGTAGTCTTGAAGCAGACGGGTTGTGGTGAGCAAGCAGCAGGAGCTCCTGACAATGTCTTGCCTATCAACACTCCCTTGTGGAATGAAAAGCAAGGTTCACAAGACTCACAAGGATCATGAGACCCTCCCCCCCAGCAAGCACATCATGAGACCCTTCTTCTCCACGAGATTTCAATCATTATATAAGAGGCAAACAGTTGACTGGGTTGAGACTTTCTAGAGGTGTAGCTCCCCGTGAGTCATCCATAAAGTGGCGTGGGTAACTCACATCACAAGGGTTGCCACCTTCCACTTCATGCGTCTGTAACCTCAGCTGAGCACACCCCATTCCTAGGTCTTCAGAGATCAGATATTCACTCCTCTCCTTTCAGTCCTGCTTTCAAATACTTCCCTGTTAGAAACATCTCCCCTAGTTCCTCATTTTAAAGAAACCCCTTCTGTTAGTTAGAATTTCTATTGCTGTGATAAAACATCAGGACCAACAACTTCGGAGGCTGCTTCTAGATAGCAGTCTGTTACTGAGGGAAGTCACAACTGGAATTGTAGCAGGACAGGAACCTGGAGGCGGAAACTGGTACAAAGGCCATGGAGGGATGCTGCTTACTGGCATGTTTCATTAATGCAGAAACAATCCCCCACCAGTTTGGACTTATTCAAAGGGTTATTTATTTGAGGGAAAAAAAACTTACAAAACACCATCCTACACGACCAGGAAAGGACTCTAATCATCGGAACCAGAATCCAAAGCAAGAGAGAGAAAGGAGGGCTGCTGCTATGCTTTAGAGAGAGAGAGAGAGAGAGAGAGAGAGAGAGAGAGAGAGAGAGAGACCATGCCCCAGTGGGCTGGTATCTCAAAGGCTATTGGCTGAAGGAGCCGAAGGAGCTCCCACAGCATTTCATCATGACTTGCTCAACCTGCTTTCTTATAGCACGCAGGACCACCAACCCAGGGCTGGCACATCAATCCTCAATCAATAAAATACACCACAGGGCTTCCCATAGACTGATCTGGTAGTGCCATCTTCTTAATAGAGGTTCTGTCTTCCCAATGACACTAGATTGTAGCAAGGCGACATAAAACTGGCATTGAAACTCCTCAATTTTTCCACCATCCTCACCAATAGCCCACTATTACTTTCTGTGATGACAGGCGTGAACCAGAATCAGCACTGTTCTACACAGTGGCCATAAGTCAAGCCACTAGTGGCTTCAGAGCTCTCAAAATGCATATACCCTAGCTAAAAAACTGAAGTCTTATCTTAGTTTATTCAGCTTAATTTTTAATTTTAAATAAGCATGTGCACATGGTACAAGAACAGCTATAAAACATCACACGTTTAGTCTCCCCAGAACAACAAATACTACCTGAAGTTATCATGTTACTTCATATTACCATGTTATCACTTCTGGCATCAGTCCCATAAATATAAAGACCTGGTCTCCTTAGGAAAATGGAAGACACACTGAAGGTTTTATATGGATTATCCATTTTCTCATAACAATCTACAACAAATTCAGAAGCTTAAAACAGCACACTTGTTACCTTGCAGTTTCTGTGGGCCAAGAATCCTAGGTATGGCTTAGCAGGTGGCATTTCAGTGTGGCTCACAAGTCTCAAAGTGTTGAGGAGATCTTGGGTTCCATCTGAAGGCTTGACTGAGGGAGGACCTGCTTCATTCTCACATCATTGGTGACAGAGTCCGGATCTTCACTACTGTCCCATTGAGGTCCTCTAGTTTTGGGGGTAGCTGGGAGCAGTCCTTGGCTCCTTGCTCCTCCAACATGGAAGCTCGTTTCATGATAGCTTGCTTTGCCAACATGTGCAAGAGAAGAAGGAAATGGCTTGTTAACAGGACAGAGGCTACAGTCTCACAAAAACTAGTTATGGAAGTGTATCTCGTCATTTTCACTGCATTGTTGGTTACTAACAAGTAATTGGGCCAGCTCCATTTTGAACGAGATAACTACTCAAAGGAAGGACTACCTAGAGGGCAGGCTCATGAGGGTCCGCCTTGCGAATCTGCTTAGCAAGGCTATTCTAAAACACACGTGCTAAACGAATAAATAGATGGATTAATTAGTGAATACCCTAATCTATCCTGCATGAATAATGGTGCCCATATAACACTTTATTCCTCCATGCATTCAGAATAGCTAAGACAGAGGACCTTCCCTAGTGAAATCTGTCTTATTCAGGGTTGCTATTGCTGTGAAGAGACACCATGACCATAGCAACTCTTATAAAGGAAAACACTTAATTAGGGCTGGCTTACAGTCTCAGAGGTTTAGTCCATTTTTGTCATGGCAGGAAGCAAGGCAGCATGCCAGCAGATGTGGTACTGGAGAAGTGGCTAAGAGTTCTACCTGTTGATCTGCAAGCAACAGAAAGGAAACTGTCACCCACACTGGGTATAGTTTGAGCACATGAGACCGTAAAGGCGGCCCCCACAGTGACACACTTCTTTCAACAAGGCCACACCTACTCCTGCAAAGTCACACCTCCTGATAGTGCCACTCCCTGTGGGCCAAGCTTTTAAACACATGAATATATGGGGGGTCATACTTATTCAAACCACTGCAAAAATCTAAAGATTCCTAGCAAAATAGGCTGATCTTTACTTGGCAACTGTTAGGTGCATGGTCCCTGATGTCAGAATGCTTGTACTTAGCCATGTGTTTCTATACCAGCTGTGTACTTGGTGAGTTAATGAATGAGATGCATGCTTAGCAGGTATGGCACAAAGTAGGCCTTCACGGCGCATTAACTCTCATTAGTATTACTACGGCTATGGCGAAATTTAATTTTCTGATTCTGTTACTGTTAAAGTAACTTTCCCAAACACGATCTTGTCACCCTGGGTTCTTAGAAGCAATGCAACCTTTTGCTGATTGACTTAACTAAAAAAATGGAAAGTATTTTTAAAGGGGGGGTTGGTTAGAGAATTCCTGTGAGAGCTGGACAGAGGGGTAGAGACCCCCCACTGGTGTCACCACGGCCTAAGGCTTGTTCCACCAACACCCTGCTCCCACCTGCTGCACAGAGCCAGCTGCCACCCCCTCACACTGCAGTTCGCACAGTCCCCGTATCACCGGCTCCATCAGACAGGCACATCAGACAGAAGCTGGAATAGGATGGAGTTGTCATTTTAGTCTTCTGTGGCTGGAGACAAGCTTGCTTTCCTCCCTTTCAAATTTTCCAAACATAAAAGAGCAAATGTCCACTACAGTGGCCAGTAATGATTTCTCCTTGATGAACACTTTTTTTTTCAGTAGAAGATTAAAAATTCATTAAGTTCCTGTGGCGTTCTCTCAGAGATTCACATCCATCATTATATTCCTTTTCTAGGTTTAAATGGCAATTGCGGATCTGAAATAAAAGAATGGTCAAAATACCAGTTGTTTGACAGATTTACTCTGTGCTTTCATTTTTTTTTTAATGGCTTGTCTTTCACCAGAAAACCACTGTGATAATATATTTCTCCTTCAAGCCATCTGCCTTCTCATCACCCACAGACTCTCCTAAGCTGTACATAATTATACATATTTGTGGGACACCAAGTGATGCTTTAATGCATGCATACATTGTGTAATGATATAATCAGAGGATTTAGTGCATCATTAACCTCAAATGTTTATTATTTCCTTACAATAAAAGCATTCGAATCCCCTGTTCTAGTGACTTTGAAATAGACAAGTCGCCTCCCTTTCAGGAGAGGTTCAAAATCCCATCATCTGGATGCTTGGACTTGTCTCACTTTCTGAGAGACATTTTTCATCAGACGTTTCTGAATGGGTGGCCCCGGCTGTCGTGATGAATTAGCTAAAGAAGTGACTTCAGATGCCATAGGCAAAGACAAATGCCCTTGCAAAACTATAGCGCCATTGTACATGCCATGGGGCCTTGCTTATAAAAGGGAGGGACTTGAGACGTTTCTGCTTCAATTACTACTCTACCGGTAGTATTTTAACGATCTGGGGTGTTTCTTCAAAGTCTCTTTTCTTGAGATCATGATTTCCCTCATATTTTTTTCCTGATGCTCCTCACCTGTAGAAGAGCATAAGTTTGGCAGTTTGATCTCATTGCTTTAAAAACAAACATACACTCACCTCCATATCTAAGGGTTCTACATCCACAGATTCAACCAAGCCTTGATCAAAAATAGAATTTTAAAAAATAGCCAGCTGGTGGTGGGACATGCCTTTAATCCTAGCACTTGGGAGTCAGAGGCAGGCAGATCTCTGAGTCCAAGGTCAACCTAGTCTACAGAGCAATTTCCAGGACAGTCAGGACTACATGGGGAAACCCTGTCTCAGGGGGAAAAAAAAAAAAAAAAGACTGGCCAAGGAAATCACTGAGTATGTAAAACACTTGCTATGAAAATGTAAGGAGCAGAGTTGTGATCTCCAGGACCACGTGAAAGCCAGCTAGGCATGGTGGCCAGCCTTGAATTCCAGCACACAGGGTGGAGTCAGAGCAAGCTAGCTAAATAGACTAGCAGAACAGTGAGTCCAAGCTCAATGAGAGACACTGACTCAATATATAAAGTAGAGAGCAATGAAGGCAGACACCCAAAGTCAACCCCGGGTCTCCACAATGTGCATGCATACACACCTGCCCACACACATGAGGACACATACACATGAGGCATACCACACACATACATACACACATGTAAAAAACATGCACAAATTTTTTTCACTGTTCCCTTAGTAATTATTTAGACCACATTTTTATTATCTAGTATAACAGGCATGTGAAACCTGTGGACAACAGCTGCCTGAAGCGGAGGATAACTATTAATGTGGTTCAACACACAAACTGTAAAATTAGCTAAAACATTATGAGGGTGGCTTGTGCACTTTTTTGTAGCTCATTTGTGCATTGTTCTCAAGCATGAACTTCATAGATGATGATCTCATGGTTCAATGTCTGAAGCTTGGGCATGCCTGAAAAATCAACCGTGGGAGGATATGCCTGGGGGAATGTGACTACTGTGACATTTTACATAAGGGACTGGAGCATGCATGTATTTTGTTATCTGCGGGAGGTTTTGAAACCAATAGCCCACAGTTACAGAATTACTATACTTTAATCGTTGAGGGGGATGTTGAGGTACAGTCTGTATCAGCAGATAAACTCAAGGCATAGTATCTTGGCTACTTAATTTAATTAGGTTAGTTTTAAATAATGGTTCTGCCTCTTTAAGAACAACAGCTCATGTCTGGAGATGGGACACTGAGGATGAGAGGCAATGCCCCTGACAGCTAGTAGGTAGAGCTAGCAATGTCTTTAAACACCATACAGTGTATATGACAGCTCCTCGAAACAAGCAATTATCTCCCCCTAAGAAGCTGATGATGCTTCTAGATTCCCTTCTTCAGTCCACAGTTCAGTTCTTCCCTTCTTGGCTGAAAGACCTGTCTTCTAACTCCCAGGTCTGTAAAGATCCGTCTGCCTTTGCCTCCCAAGTGCTAGGATTAAAGGTGTGTGCCACCTCCGCCAGGCTTAACAAGTAAGACTGATCCCGACTGTTCACCCTCATCCTCCTGCCTGGGACTGAAAGAGATGAAAGCATCCTCTGATCTCTCGTGAACATTCTAAAGCATTTGTATTTGTTATGTGCTCTAGAACCTGGGATTTTAACAAACTCAAACCCTGCTCCCACTCCTCCATACTTGCCCTACTACAGTACGGAAACCAAGGCGAACATCCTCTTCCACCGCCTGGAGCTTGGCAACGTGAAGGATCTCTCGTTGCTTCACTTCCACACCTACAAGATGACACAACAACACAGGCTACTTCAGGAACTGCAAGCCTGGTGTTCAGGTAAAATACTGTAAGAACATTTGACAATCTATAAAGCAATAGAATATATTTGTCGTTATCCTTTTCCTTCCCAACTCCTTTCCACGCTTTCCTCTCATGTAGCTAATATATCTAAGCCTCTGAAACAAAGGCACTAGACAAAGTATCAGTCAGGTATTTGTTCACAACACCATAACGTCCTACTATAACATGCATCATTTATTTCTCCTGGCCCACCTCTATGGACAGTAAATCTCTGCAGGCATGTTTAGAAAAGTAGAGAACTAGTTATTATACAATTGGACCATCTTCAAATTTATCAGGAAAAAAAGTACATATTTTGTTTAAAATTTTTCTATGTGGTCCCTAGGAATAGAAAATAAAATGAATCATCATAAAATAAATTTCTCAGAAGAACAATATTATGGTTTGTGGCTGAGCAAAATTTTATATCAAATTGATCAAAGAAATAACAAATAAAAAGAACAAACTCATAATATTTAAAACACAAATATGTTCCTTATAAATATATTATACACACTGATGCATTTTTCCTAACTTTAATATTTATGAGACATTTTTATTGGTGACTTGGACAGTTTGCTTCATAAAAACAAAATTCATGGAAATTTGAATTGCTATCTTGTTTTTCCATTAATAAATCTCTCTAAAGCTTCCAGAATCATCCAAACTCTTCCCTGGAACACTGGAGCTCAAAATCCTTCAGTTAGAATTCAGTGCAGAATCTAAACACTTGAAGATTTCCCAAGGAACTTCATTATTCTCCATGTCCTATAGCAGTGACTAGGAAAAGAAATCACTGAGGAAATGTGTTATGATCATGAAAGAGGGAGCAATCAGAGTTCTCTGCTGTTGAACACGGGAGGGCGTTGATGAGTTGACAGTAAAACATGAAGCCTCGTGGACACCCACTCTTCTCTCCACCTCCTACCGTTCCCCTGGGTTACCTCTCAGAACAAGAAGCAAGAAACACCACTTCAGAGGCTATGGAATGGATCAATCTACTCAGAACCGGGCGAGTTACAGTATTGATTACCCAGCTACACACATTAGTGTCTATTTGCCCACATTTCCTAGTAGCCTACCTATCGCTTTTATGAATTATGCTTCCCCTGCCACATGTGTGTTCTTTAGTAAGTAAATAAAAGAGCAAGACATTGCAGAACTCTTATGTTTAAGAAAGTCATAGATGTATATATGGTTTGCTGGTATGAGTTGAAAGTCCACTTCATAGAAAGTCCACTTCCCTCCAGCTACAGACTTGTTTGGGGGAAGCTATTCCTGGTTTGTCAGAGCAGCTTTCCCTTGTCTCTCTACTGCTACTGTGGTTATGGACTCATGAGAGGAGATGGCTGTTTAATAACACTCATATGATAGTCTGGTTTCCTCAAAGAGACCTTTAGTTGTGCCAGAGACTCAATTCAATAAGACAAACCTTGCCAGCTACATTTCCACTAACTGGGGAGCAAGCATTCAAACATGTGAGCCTAGTGGGGGAAGGTGGAGCTGTACTGGCTGGTTTTATGTCACTAGTTTCTCAATGGAGAAAATGGCTCCATAAGATTGGGCTGTAGTGAAGCCTAGAGGACTTTTTCTTAATTAGTGATTGAAGGAGGATTACTGTGTTAGCCCATTGTCCTGGGGTCACCCCCCTGAGATGGCAATTCTTGGCTCTACAAAAAACAAAAAAACAGGCTGAGCAAACCAGGAGGAACAAGTCAGTAAGCAGCACTCCTCCATGGCCTTTGCATCATTTCCGGCCTCCAGGTCCCTGCCCATCTCTCTTCAATAGTCATTGAAGGTGATGAGGACACGTAAGCCAAATAAATTCTTTTTCTATAGAGAAAAATTATTTATTTATTATTTATTATACCCTGACCACAGGCCAAATAAGTTCTTTTCTCCCCAAGTTGCTTTGGTCATGGCGTTTCATCAAGCAGTGATAAGCCTGGCTAAGATGCGGTCATCCTCATTCAAATCTTCACACAGTGCTTATTCTCAATCCTACTTTCTTCCTGATTCCTGACACAGTGCAGGGCACTGAATAAAAGTTTGTCCATCATTTGTTCTAAATCTGTAAAAGGACATTATGTAGAAGGACAAACAGAATGAGGCCTGTTTCATTGCTTCTTTCTATTCAATCTTTATAGACATAATATAATGATCATGGCTCTTCAACTAAACTGAGCATATTCTAATATATATACATATATCTTATTTATATATTTTATATATATAATAAATATATGTTACATATATTTATATATATTATTTATAAAATTTAGGAAGTTTATACAAGTATAAAGAAGAAATCACCTACAAGCCCACAATTCAGGGATGGAATATCATAGTTAATATAATATTAACTCTCTCTTTCCCCTCCAATGGGGAGAAACCGAAAAAATGACCCCCACTCAACCATGCTCTCATCTTGGGCTTCTTAGCCTTCAAAACTATGAGAAGGAAATACATTTTTAATCCTGTAGTATATTACACTGTAATTTAAGAGATAGACAAGAAATAGTTGTATTATTGAAGATGGACTGTATTATTTCACTATGGCATGCAATGCCCGAAATTTTAGTGACATTCAGTATAAAACATTCCTCAATGATATTACGTGTCTATTATGGGTAGCCAGGAAGTCTTCTTGACATGTTTACTCCAGAACTTGGGTTGATGACTGCCACTATATCTGGAAAAGAGTACTAGAAAAATGCACAACGGCTATCACATGCTTAGCTGTTTTCTTCAATGTTAAATGTTCACAGCTCACTTGCCAGAACTAGTCACAAGGCCACACTTAAGCTCTAGAGACCAAAAAGTGACCTCCCCAAAGGAGGAAGCAAGAGCAAAAACTAGTGATAATCAGTTTGCCCTTCTGGTCCTTAGATATTGAGGTTACTATGTTTTTTTTTTTCCCACATGCAAAATAAATGTAAAATGTCTTCTGAGGAAAATAACCCCAGAAGTTTTATGCTATTAGAACATCAAGTTTTCTGGGTAACATAGCTCAGTGATAGAGGGCTTTCCTAGCACGTGAAAGGCCCTAGATTCAAATCCTCAAAACGACAAAAACAAAACAAACAAACCATACAGGGCAGTGGCATATCAAGCTCAACATCCAGGGTCTCACGGGAGGGATTTTATGCCTCTTGTTGATCTGGAGACATAGGAACTGAGCAGCAGAGAATCCTTCCCTTGAACCTAGTATGCAGATGTCTGTGGGAACATGATAACCACAATAGCCACTCCTATTCAGAAAGAGGAAGAATGGGAAAGAGACGCCGATCATAGTCTATGGCTATTTTGCAACTTTGCACAGCCGTTGCAAGGAGCCCCCTTGGGGGAGGGGATGGCTTTTGATTAGGTCCCAGTTCCAATCCATAGCATCTTCCTCCTCCAGTTCATGGCTTGGGCAGTTCTTACCTGTACCATCCTGAAGGGTTCTTTCATGCTCTCACCTGTCATCTTGAGTAAGTGCTAGAGTTTAAGCAGCAACTTTCTCAAACTACTTTCTATAGACAGAGGAAGAGGCCCTGGCTCATTTCGAGACTATCCACAGTTTCCTATAAATGTGACCGATAGGTATTTTGGCCTCAGTCTCAGAACTTCAGTCAGCTATTTCTACAGTTGATCCAAGTAAGCTCTATGTATCCCAGCCATTGTCATTCCTTGCTTATTTCTTTCTTGTTTCTTCCAGCCTATAGGCTAACAATACATGCATTATTGTGTACTACTGAAAAGTTTCACGGAAATACTACTTTAATCTAGAATGCGGTCCTGTCCTCAAGTCTACATTCTAACCAGCCCATGCTGCGCTCTCTCTGTCTCTCTCTGTCTCTGTCTCTCCTCACTCTCTCTCCCCTCCAGTCTCTTCTCACTATCTCCTTTCATTTTTGCTTATTTTTAATAACTAAAAGTAAAAATCACTTGTTTCTTCTAGTTGTTCATATTTCCACATTTTTGACTCCCTATAATAAACTTTGTTTTTCAAATATTCTATTTTTAACTATGTATGTACCTGTATCTATGTGTGGGAACGTATGCATGAGGGCCGGCGACAATGAAGAACAGAAGACGCAAGATCACTGAAGTTACAGGCAGTTGCTTACAAGCTGCCCAAACTTGGATGCTGGGACCTGAACTCCCTTCTCCAAGAGCAGCGCACACCCTTAACTGCTGAGGCATCTCATGGGCTCCCTTGCATTTTTATTTGCAAAGTGGACAATTATTTTTATGCTGAACATTTTCTGTACTGTTTTAGGTAATCACTATTTCCAACACAGAGAACTGAGCCTCCAGATCCAGCCTCCTCCACTACAGCTACAAGTTTATGGGTTACATTATCTGCTCCCAAGATGCACCATGTTCCCATAATAGTCTTTCCCAACCTTTTGCTCCTGCGACTATGAGTCACCATCTTCATGACTTCTATCACTTCTGTTTCTGTGTACTAGCTGGTACTTAAGACGGAGTCATTTATTCATTGGTTTTGTTCCAGCCACTTCTTCAAACTGGAAATTGGTTCTGTATTCATCAAGATTGGCTCAGTGCTGTTCCAGGAATCCAATACAAGTCTCATTGATTTAAACCAAAGAATTATTTCATTCGTATTACATATTCATCATAGGATGGGATACACTCTGTGGTTATGTTTCTTCAGTACTCCTGGCTGCCTATGTAGTCACTGCCTTGAATGTTGTCTATTGCTACAGCAGAAAGGAAAACTGGGTGCTAAAGAGTCATGAACCAGCCAGCCTAAAAGTGGCCTTTATTACATGTACTCATAGTAATAGTCCAAAATTAGTTACATGACATTACTCAACTACGAAGAATGCAGGAAGAGCAATTGTCTCTTGCACCCAGAATGGTATTGGCATACAAAAGGAAGCATTTATTGAATACCATAAAGATCTTCCAAAATAGGTAAGTAAAAAAAAAAATAAT